CCCTTCCTCCGAGTTGCCCTCCAAATTCCATCCGGTTTTATCTTTTGCAAAGGCCTCTGGGCTGCAAAGCAAACCCCGTCCCGGTCTCTCCCCCTGCCTCCCTGCGAAGAAGAAAGGGCTCGCTGGGGTCTTTAGGCAAAGCAGAAACACCCCCGCAGAGCCTTCAAAGGTGCCTCTCCTCAAGCCGCCAAATGGTTAACTCTTTCAAAGAGCCTTGGCCGGCCTGGGAAAGCTGTCTGGGTTCATTGATTAAAAAAAAAAAAAAAAGGGTATTGTTTTTCGCACCGTCCGCGATATTAATGAATGGTATCAGATGACACCGAGTATTTGTAGGGGGCTCTGGTTACCTTTGACCCACTTGATGCTGTGAAAAATGAAATGATGTGGGAGAGCCCAGAACCCCCGGCTGGAACGGGCCTCTCCCTCCCACACCCCAAAGAGTTAAGCAGAAATGGTTAATATTCCTCCCTTGGGCCCCCACGTCCCGTATTCTAATGTATGAACTCTCATTCAGCCGCATATGCTCCCAGCCGGGCTCGCCCCCTCCGCACGGCACGCAGGGTCTCTGCCCAGGCATTTGTAAAAGCACAATATTATGACCACACAACCTCACCTAGGCTGCACGCCCCGTGCACGCACAGATGTGTGACCCCCCCACGTTCCGAGTGGGGTTCGCTTTGTCCCTTCCCGTCCGGGGGCTCAGCCCGAGGTGAGAAAAAGGGAGCAGGGGCTATTAAGAATTCTGACAAGGTAGGCTGAATGAATTGTGTTTCCTTTGTGAGCCTTAATCCGGTGTTGTATTGGCTTCTCGGACATGGCTAATTTATTTGGAATTTCATTCTGTTCCTGACAGTGTCCTTGACTAGCTGTTTGATCACCTCGAGCAAAGTTACACACCAGCTTTCAGATGTTGGAAGGGCAGCAGTGTAACTCCGCTCAAGTGCATTCTCCGGGCCCGGCTTCTGCCTGCAGCGGGACGTTTCAAAGGGCTGGAGCCGTCTCTCGTTCAGGAGAGAGGCCGACCCGCGCGGGGGTCTCCCCCAGGGAGGAGGCTCTGGCCACTCTCCCCCCACTCGTCCCTCTGTTTGGGATTTGAATCTCCTTTTGTGGTGCGGGAAGAAAGAAGAAAGAAAATTTTCGCCCGTCTGCGGGGTCGGAATGGCGCATTTCAGCAGAAACCCGATTTAGAAATGTACATTCTGTTGACTTGAGTGGTTTGAGATGCAGTCTTTTTGGGGGAAGAGGTAAAGAGGCTGCAGACCTTCTCAGGGCGCTCACCCCCCGCACGCACCGGTCCTGGCGTCTCCAGCACCTTGTGCCTATCACGGCAGAAATAGTTGACCTTCATTCTCTCCTAACTCACATGTTTCTGTGTGTTTGCATGTTTACTTTTTGTAAGAGCAGGCATGTCTTGCTTGGATACAAAGAAAAAATAATGATTGTCAGAAAGCCTCCAGCACCTCTGAGCACCTCGCCCTTGGCACGGTTGTGGCTGGTGGCTTTAAACTTTGGGCAGAATCTGGTCTGATGGAAACATGCATTTCCTTCACTTTGGGCTCATGACCCCGGTGTCTGTGACACTTTCCCACTGGGCGCCTTCTACGTGCCAGGACGGGGGCTCTGGTGACAGCTCACGGGCTAGACACATGGCAGAGGCCGCAGAGGACATCAGCGCCATGATCAAAGTGAAAGGCAGAATCAGGGGCGCCTGGGTGGCTTAGTCGGTTAAGCGTCCGACTTTCGCTTAGGTCATGATCTCGCGGTTCATGGGTTCGAGCCCCGCGTCGGGCTCTGTGCTGACTGCCAGCTCGGAGCCTGGAGCCTGTTTCAGTCTGTGCCTCCCTCTCTCTCTGACCCTCCCCTGCTCACGCTGTTTCTCTCTCCTAGAAATAAATAAAACATAAAAAAGAAATAAAAAAAAAAAAAAAGAAAAGCAGAATCAGCCAAGCCACCAAAACCGGGGTGAGAGGCTGGATGGATGCCGGGGGAGAGGGCACATCTCTGCAGAACACCCCGATGACAGCCACCAACCCGAACGGGGGCCCCCGGGGCTGGTTCTGGCACTGTCACCCGCGGTGAGAGCTGGTCCGGGGCGGGGACTGGGCTGTGCCTCCATCCCCAGCCCTCCTCCTCGGACCTCACCCAAGGAAGGGGTCGCCTGCCATTTTCTTAGGGGGCCATGTGGGAGGACTTGCCTACGCCGCCTCCACGGCCGGCCACTGGGTGCGGGAAGACCCCTTTGGCTCTTTGCACTCCTGCTTTAACGTGGGTCCTCCGGTCCGTACGCGGTGGCCCCGAGCTGCAGCCGCCCCTGCTCAGGTCTGTGCCTCGTGGAAAACTCTAACTCCCTTTAAGCGGGACACTTGTCATCTCGGCAGGAGGAAAGGGGGGAGCCGAGAAGAGGGCTGACTTCGTGCAGTCCCAAGTTCACGGTGATCTTGAGCGGAATTCTGGGGCCTACCCTTGGGCTTTGAGTTTGTCCCAATCTGCAGGGGAGCTGGGCGTTCACCCGCCTCCCCCCCAGTCGGTCCTGGGCATGAACGCCCCAGGCGCTCTGGGTCTCGGTGCTGGGCGGCCCCCATAGCACGTTCCCTGGAGGAGAATTTCGTGGGAAGCAAATGGATACTGAAGTTAGGGGTCGGGGCACAGAGATGGGTGAAGGGTCCCGGGGACCAGGGTGCGGCCCCGCCCCTGCCCCAAGCCTGTCATCTCTAATTATAAGATGAGTAGAGTGGGGAGCAGGGGACACAGTGGGAACTCAGTGACGCTTGCACACAGCTGGCCTATCTGATGCACTGTCTCACCCCCGAATCATTGTCTCCAGTGGGTGACGGACACCTTGTCCCTCTAAGGTCTGCCACGGCTGCCTCGTCAGGTGGACCCTTCTCGGGAGAAGTCAGTAGTGGGCACAGCCGTGACACTGTCCAGGGGCTGGGGGCGTTCGCTTCCTCTCCCAAAGGGCGTGCTGACCTTGGCCTCGCTACTCCGGGACCCGGGGGCATCTGAGCAGAATCTGGGCGGCCCCCGTGATCCCAAAGCGTCTGCGTGCATGGATGCCACGTGACCGGACGCTGTTGACTTTGCGGGTCCCGTGGTGTGCTTGGCAAACAGAGGGATTTACCCAAGGCCACTTTGTCGCCACCTGCCAGGGCGGGAGCTGGCGTGTGCCCGGCGCCTCGGCTTTGCCCAGAATGGCCACCTGGAGATGCTGACCACTCAGGTAAGGAAAACGCCTGCTCAGAAACTAGTCTCTTCTCCCCCCACCCCTGGGTTCGTGGCTGCTTTCCCCTGGGACCTCGCTCCATGTGCAGATGGGCGTGTCCAGGAAGGTGGCTCCTGAACGCCCCTGAGGACTTTCTGCAACATTCTAGAAGCCCTTAGCAAGTGGCCACGTCTTCGAGAATGCCCTATGTGATTCCTGCCTCCACGTCCAGCTCCTGCTAAGTTCTCACGTTACATTTGAAGCCATCTTGCAACCTGTGCACAGGGCACATCAGCCCAGAGCTCAGTGCTCCCCGAGAGAGTGGTGGCCAGCGAATGTGCTGGGTCACCCGGCCGGGTCCACTGGTGGCCGCTCTGTGGACAGAGGCAGGAAAAGTTGTCTGCCACCCTGAAAGTAAAGTAGGGCACGGTGCACTTTCAGTAGGGGTGAAATCTGAGCTTGCAGGGGTGAGTCCAGGGGGAGGGAGCCCTCCTCCTGGGTCTGATCTGAGTGCGGGACACACATCCGCTTGGCTTATCACTTGTGAAAACCACAAGTGAGGGCTGCCTGCCTACCCCCACTGCCCAGCTTAGGCTGTGTTCCTCATCCAAGCCTTTGCATTTATTCCTTAGAACCTTCTGGAAAGGCTGGAAGGCACACATTCTTATTTTGTAGACAAAGAAGAAATTCAGGAACCGGCCTCAGGTGGCCTGCAGTCCTGGAGTCCCCTGCAGGTGGACTGGACCGTTTCCTGGGTGAGAACGTGCCGGGCCCCCAGGACATGGCTTTCAGAGACCTCGGCTCCTCCCCGGGGGCCCTCTGAGCTCCAGGTGAGGCCCCTGTGCCTTCTGAGGCCATAGGGTAGGACGAGGTGCCCAGTCGGTCTCTTCTCCCAGGAGAGCCTGGCTGGGAAAGGTGGGAGCTGGGGGTGGGCAGGGGCCGCGTGTGGGGGGTGTGTGCACGGCTGTGTGAGTGTGTGTGTGTGTGTGTGCACAGCTGTGGGGGGGGCAGGTGGAGGCTGTCCCTTCGCCAACAGTGTGGGGACATTGCCCAGGGCATCCTCTCTGGTGGTGGGGGATCTGGAGCCCCGGCACTGAGCTGGGTGCTGGTCCCTGATCCCCACGCGGGGCGGCCCTTCAGAGGCGGCCGGCCATCTGCGTCACTTTCCCTCCAGGGGTCTGTGCCCAGAGAGGTTGAGGCTCCAGGCCACCAGCGAGCCGGCAGTGGGGTCCCCGTGAGGGTGAGGAGGGGCCCGCAGGGCCGGCCTGTCTGGGGGGTGGGAGTGGGGGCGCCCCTGCAGAGGGAGGGGGAGGGGAGCTGGTCCAGGGCTGGGAGTGAGCCGGTCTGTGTCCGCTGCAGGTGGCAGCGCGTGCGGGGACCCCGGGGGCGGCGGGGGCTCCTCTCGCGGCCGCCCTTCCTCCCGACTGATAGCTAACTGGGCCGAGAAAGGGCCCGATTGTCCGCGCGCCGGAAGCGCGGGCGTGGGCGGCTGGAAGCGCCGAGAAGGTGGCCGGCCTCGCCCGGCAGCTGCCGCCCGAGCCGCCCGCGGTGACGTCAGCGCTGGCGGGCGGGGAGCCCGCGGAGGCTGCGGAGCGGGGGGGGGGGGGGGGGGGGGGGGGGGGGGCGCTCCGGCCGCTCCACAAAGCGGCCATTGTCGCCGGGCTGCTCTGGGCTGAGCGGCGCGCGGGGCCCTTGACCTGGGGGCCTGTCGCGGCTGCCGGGGAGGCCGGGGCTCAGGGCGCGGCGGCGGGGCGCGGGGGCGCAGCCCGCACCCCAGTGGGGGCCGCCCAGCCTGACCATGGGCTCCTGGCCGGTGGGAAGCACCGGCCCGGACCCGCTCATGGTCCTGCTGGTCATCATCTTGCTGGCCCGCTTCCTTCTCTGGTCCTGCCTGGGCACCTACATCGACTATAAGCTGGCGCGGCGGCATGCCGGGAAGCCCAAGGAAGACTAGGGCGGGGGGGACTCTGAGCACCCCCCAGCCCCTCCAGGAGGGCGCAGCCCCAGAGGGGTCCTGTCCTGAGCTGAGGGCGTGTGGGGCAGGGCAGGCCACCCATAGGGCAGGGATGGACCGTGCCCCGCCCCGACTGGCCCCGGGCTGTCCTGGTCACTAGCCCGTCGGAGGTTGGGACCGAGGGGCCGCCACGGCCTGTCTGTCCGCCGTCAGGTGTGGGGTCCGCACCTGGAGGGAGGGAACGACCCTGAGGGTGGGTCTTGCATTCGGACCCTCTCTGCCTCCAAGTCTTTTAAGTATGTTTGCAGGGAGAGGAGGGGACGAGCCACAGGCTGTGGGGTCCCCGGGGCAGACGCGGCCACGTCGCTCGCCAGCCCTGCTCCTCAGCTTCCTCTTGCTCCCCCCGGGGGGTACTAGTAAGTTCAGACCTGGTTCCCCAGCTGACCCCTGGAGGGGCTCAGGACGGACTCGTGACCCCTGAGCTCCAGCCAGCTTGGGCTGACTGAAGGTCAACTCTTTCTGTCTCTAAAATGGGCCCAAGAAGCCCCATCTCCCTCCTCAGAAGGACGGGAGGAGGGCGGGTGGAGGGGTGGGCGGCGAGCCCCCCAGTCTGCACCCTGCTGGACGCTGGACGGCGTAGGGGAGGAAGCAGGGACGCAGTGCCCTCTCTTCCTCAGCACTTGTAAGCCTGTGGCTGAGACGCGCCTCAGCAGGCGGCCACGTGGGAACCCTGACTCGGACCCAGGAATCCGGCGCCTTCCGGCCGCCCGCCTGCCCATCACACCCCGCCTGGGAGCTCCGTGGTTCTCGGCCTGCTGGCTGGTTCTAATCACCTTGCGGATTTTAGCAAACACGATGGCCAGGCCCCCCAGACGGACAAGCACGGGCAGGGACAGGATGTCCTTGGGAAGCTGGCGCCTGGTGGCACAGGACTGGGGGCGTCTGTCAGAGCAGAGTCGAAGGGAGCTGGTGTCGCTGACCTGGGCGAGCAGACTCGGGAAGCCCCGGCCCGGAGCCACCCACCTTGCCTTGCGGCATCCCGGCCGAGGGACCGGAGGGACCACAGGCCTGAGCCAGGGACGCAGTGGGACCTGATGAGCTCACCGACACCGAGAAGATCTTGTTTTGCTCCCGGAGGACCTTCCGTGCTCAAGGCAACCACAGGGACAGGGAGCCGGTCAGCTGGGGGCAGGGACCTTCTGGGGGCGGGGCTGACCCACCCGAGAGACTTTGATGGTGGGGTGCCAGGGGGCTGTTTGCAAGTGAGGGTCTTTTCTCATGGATGACAATCCAGAGAGTCTGCACGGTGGTGGTGATGGTGGGAGAGGGGGTTCACTGTGCGTTGATTCATTGGGGCCAGAGGGCGGCTGTCCTGTGGGCAGTCGTGTGAGCCAGTGTCCCAACAGAATTCACGTCCCCACCCCATCGAGAACCTGATGCTGGGGCTGGGGGAGGAGGTGTTTTCATTGCTTTCAAGGAAAACGACGTTCAGTTCTCTGTTAAAATTATGCGTGATTTTACTGATCTCTCTAAGAGGAATCAGCTGTGTTGTCATGATCGTATATTGAAGGAGAGAGAGCGGCTAACCATTCCCGTTTGTCTGGGGCCAACCCAGGTTTACAACGGAAAGTTCCCTGTCCCGGGAGAGCCCTCTGTCTGGGGTCTCCTGCGTGCACTCTGCGAGCGGCCTGCATGTGCACCCGGGCGCGTGGACTGGCGCTCTCGCACACGTTTGAGGTTCACCGTTCGGTCCGGTGAGCCAGCATTCCACGGCTCTCGCTGCCGCCCCTGCTATCGGGGGGCCTGGCGGACGGGACGGAAGTGGGGGGCTGTTGCCGACACGGGACCCTGGAACAAGACCAGATCCTGCCAGTGTTATTTGAGCCCCTTTCCGGTTACACCAGTCTATGCATTTCTTTTTTCCCCTCTTAAGCCAGTTTGCGTTGGTTTCTTATTCACAACGGATACGTTCTGATGGGTGCAGGCATCTGCATCGAGGTGCCAGCCGCCTAAGGCCTCACGACGCCTGCCTGGCCCAGAGCAGGCACTTGAGCCACGGCTTCTGAGTGAGGGACAGGACGCGCCCTGGCCTGATATGAGGCAGCACCTGCATCCGGCTGCAAGTGACAGGCCAGTCAACAGTGACGTAAACAAGAGAAGCCCCTTGCCCCCCCTTCATGTTTATTTTCTCATGTGACAAGAAGTCTGGCATTTGGGATTCTCAGACCGTGCTAGGGGAGCCCCATGCTATTATCGAGGGCTCAGGCCCTTCTGTGTATCTGCTCCGGCATCCTTCACGGGCAGGCTTGGTCCTCATGGTCACAAGGAGGCTGCTGCTGCTCCAGGTTTCCTGAGTGAGTTCCAGGGCAGGAAGAGGAAAAAGGGTGGTAGGGAGGGAGAGGTAGTTCTCTGACATGTAAAATCCTTGTTTTACATCTCATAAACCAGAGTCACGTCACATGGCACCCCTATATGCAGGGGCGGCTGAGAGGTGGAGTTTGTTAGTGGAGTTCACTGCCACCCTAGGTGATGTGATGAGGGTTCTATTATAAAGGAAGGCTAAATGGATATTAGATGGGCAACTGGAGCTCTCTGCCACTGACTCTTTGCCATTTGTTGTTATTTTTTTTAAATGTTTATTTATTTTTAAGAGAGAGTACAAGCAGGGGAGGGGCAGACAGAGAGGGAGACACAGAATCCAAAGCAGGCTCCAGGCTCTGAGCTGTCAGCACAAAGCCCGATGCGGGGCTCGAACTTGTGGCATGCTAGGCCGTGACCTGAGCCAAAGTCGGATGCTTAACCGACCGAGCCACCCAGCCGCCCCTGCCATTCTTTGTAATTGTGTTTATTTGGGGCACTGTGTTGGGTATTTGGGTGTCTTTCGTGGTACCTTGGTGCCAGCAATGCCCCCGTCTGCCCTTCAGGAATAGCAGATGTGCCCAGCTGTCTTTTGCACGTCCAGCCTGGGGTCACTGGCTCCTTGGGGCTCCTGAGATTTGGTTCCAGTAAGTCTGAGGCTGAAACAGACATATTCCTTCTGAGAGACCCACGGAGATGCTCCTTTGTCCACGGCTGGCTGTGACCGGCATAGAGGGTAGCAGATGGAAGGTAGACCTGAAGAGCTGATGGATAAATGAATGATAACGAGGGCCAGCAGATGGATAAATGGAGGGGTAGGTATAGGGCTTGGCAAGCATTGCTCTGCCCTCACAATGTGCGAAGCATCATGGATACAATGTAGAAAACAATGTGCCCACTGCAGGCAGCTTGGAGGCTGGGAGCTAAGTGGGCCGAGAAACCTGGACACGGATACTAAATCTGCACCAGGCACACGCGGCTCTTAAGTACTGAAAGTGTGGTCAGTGCAAATTAAGATATACTGATTGAAATGCTGTATTATTGAAATGATAATATTTTGGGGACACAACTGGGTTAATTAAAGTACAAAAATTCACTTCACCTGTTTCTTTTAGTGTGTTTTAATGTTGCTACTAGAAAATGTAAAAGTACATACACAGCTCATGCTATTTTTATGTTGCACAGTGTTGTGCCAGAACTTCATAATATAGAGAATGTGCCCTGGTAGGCAGATGTGCTGTGCGTTATAGGAACGCATATGTTGTCAGAAAGAGAGCTTTCTGGAGGATGGTTTGAGGTTATAAGGTCAGTACTATACACCAGAGCTAATGAAATGCAGCCAAAGCTGTTCTTATAGGAAAAGTTATTGCCTCAAATGCCTATATGAACAAATAAGAGAGAATGGAAATCAATGACTTAAGTATATGACTCAATAAATTTAAAAAATAACAATAGAGCAAAACAAAGAAAAATGGAAGACAGAAATAAAGAGAGGAAATTAGTGTAATAACAAAGCGATCGAATTAACAAATGTCCCTAAGTCCTGGAATTTAAAGAAAAATAACATGTCTTATGTATTCCCTTCTCCTTTTTCTTTTTAAACATTGTGTTGAAATACACACAAGGTAAAATTTACCATTTTAACCTTTTTAAATATTTTTTAAATCTTTTTTTAATATTTTTTAAAAATGTTTTTTAATTTATTTCTGAGAAAGAGAGAGAGACAGCATGAGTAGGGGAGGGTCAGAGAGAGAGGGAGATACAGAGTCTGACACAGGCTCCAGGCTCTGAGCCGTCAGCACAGAGCCCGACGCGGGGCTCAAACCCACGAACTGTGAGATCATGACCTGAGCTGAAGTCGGATGCTTAACCGACTGAGCCACCCATGCACCCCACAATGTCTCCTGTAAAGGCCCAGGGTGTTTCAAAAGAAGGCCCGTACCACTGTCCACACTCAACACCATCTCAACAGCTCTGGCTCACAAAAGAAGGAATGCTCCCAATTCCATGTAGTAGGCATCTCCTTGATACCCAAATCCACCAAAGACAGCACGGAAAGAGGAAATGCATGTCGATGTCACTTAGAAATATTGATGCAAAAATACAAATCCCTGAATTAAGCATCCCATCAGAGGGACAAAACATCATCACCAAGTAGAGTGGGTTCCAGAAATGCAGGGATGGTCGAATACTAGAAAATCAGTTCATATAATTTACCGTAGTAATAGCGTCAAAGAGAAACATCATTTGACAATTTCCTTAGACGTCTTTCCAGAGGTATTTGGATAAAATGCACAACCAACCTCAACAAAGTTCATCATAAAACAGAAATCGATAATAGATTGATACGTTTTTAACCTGAGAGGGAAGCTCTCCCCTAACGGAACTGTTTCCTGTCCTGACGGCCCCTGTCCGGCAGCATCACCATCAAACCCTGGAGTCGAGAGGAAGGTGTTCACAGGGGCTGGACGGGCTTCCGGGGTGAGGCGTAGCCTGAGCACCTGGAAGAGAGGCAGCAGGCACAGGACCGGGTAGGGGCCCTGGGGAGGGGAGGTCACACCCGGGGAATTCGCGGGGCGACCGATCACCGGGAATGATTGCGAACGGTTACTGGAATTCTGGAAAGTGGAGGGGCCCGAGTC